GGAAGACAAACTCTCCAGCTGCAGCAGTGCCATCCTATTACAGTACCATTCTCTGACCTCTTTAGAACGACCCTCAAAGACTTGGAAAGACAGACTGCATGACTGGGTGCTTGGTTTTATTCCCCGGTGGCAATGCGACTAAAAACACCTGAATTCAAATCTTAAGAGGTGTGGCTCAATACTTTTGTTAATATAGTAAGTAGCTACCATCAAAGCTTATTAAAAAGAGAGAAAATGGGTTCAATAAGTCAACAGAGAGCTGTGAAACAAAACTTGAGCAATACTTATCTGAAATTTAGACAAGTTGTAAGATTTAAACCCAAGTTCTTCTGCTTTCTTTCTGGAATGAGGGTTGGATTATCATCTTTGGTGTGTTTCTTCCTCATTTTACAGCCACATAAAGTTTGCGATGGACCAAATTTAAGCTGGACCCCAGAGCATCAAGTTTTGTCTTAGTCTATTGAGACTGCAGACCATGCTGTTCACTCAGTGCTGTGTATTAGCTAGCGGCCTCCAATATGGCTGCCGGAGGGTACATTACATCACCTGAGTGTGTGTTTTGGACTTTTCTGGCACACATGCATGCTTAGAAGCAGTAATGATGGTTATGCAAGCCTTATGTTCTGTGCTTCCTGCATATTTCATCATGATTTACAAAGAGAGCTCCAAATTTCGAGCGGTGCACTTTTTTATTCTCTTTGTAGTCTGCGAGTCAGTGTGCCCAACAACAAAAGGCATCTCTATTTCTTTGAATTCCCTCTGTAGCATTTCATGCTGATACTCTGCTCTGCATATTTTATCCAGCCTCTCCTGTGCAAACTGAAATTCCCACAGCAGGGCTGCAAACCAGAAGTTTTTTGGTTTGCAGCCCTGCTGTGCAATCTGAGAACACGTTCACTTCTGTATCACATTATTATCTATACAGTTTCCCCATTTTATGTGAGACTGCAGAGCACCTTTACAGATATTGTTCTCTGAATGGTCCAGCTGGTGTTTCCCCCCAGCTCATCTTCACCTTCTCCCTCCCCAGAGTACGACTCTGATCCTTTGGGTGCCTTTAATCGTGACTTGTCTCATCCAGCTGGTGTTTTGTGCCCGCTGCCTTGCTGTCTGCATTTCCTTTCTGGGTCTGCCTTGCTGTCCTACCAGGAAGAGACCCAGAGGCAGATCGGTGAGATTTTGACCCGGGCATCTATTGAACTCTACTGGCAGTCTGTGCACTATAACTAAAGCCATTTTTTGGTGTCTCTGTAGATTAACGCTGTGGTGCCAATCGAGAAAGGTGCTTCTCCTCACTATTCTAGACCTCCAAGTAGCTACAATGAACCTGCCCCTGGGCATACAGAGCCTCCAAGAACCTACAGCCAACCACCAAGAACCTACAGCCAACCATCAAGAAGGAGCACAGCAACTCCACAACGCCAGCACCGAACTCCCACCCCTCCACAGTATCTTCCTCGTCAGGACCACTGTCTTCCTCCCTCGGAGAGGCAACCTCTTCGCCAGCCACACAGAGTGAGATCAGACAGAGAAAGGCAAGTAACAAGAGCTGGAAGCCAGCAAATGGCGACGGAGCAACACCGGCTCTTGCAAAGGGGTGCGCTGGAAAGGTCCAGCTTCTGGATATAGCGTTATTTAACGCAGCAGATCTACTCGAAGAGCCAGAAAAAGTCTTATGAGGTTCCAGCTACAGTACTTGGAGTCAAACTTCATGCTCATAACCTGTCAGTACTTTAAAGCTCTGGCCTCAGATGAAGATGTTTCTTTAAGAGGAAGTGATCTATGAATATTCTGAGGCCCAGATTATTTCCCAGTTATGGGAATTTGTCAGTTCTCATTCTTGTCATCGTGTTGAAGAAAGAGATGCTGCAAAGAGAGGACACAGTGCCGGGTCTGAATGGGATTATGAGAAATAGCTGGTCAGTTTGTTGTCAAGGGTTGGATGAATGATCCGATGTCGCTGTGATGTCAACTGTTCGGACCTGTTTAAAACTCGATTCACACTTTCCCATTATAAAGCCATGAGGCAGGGCTAATCTGGAAGTTAGCGCTCTCCAGCACTGAAATCTCTACCACAATTCAAAGCTCAGTATTTCACACACGCCAAAATGTGACCACAAAATGTTTTCATTTTGGGGTTTTTTGGTGGGTTCTTTTGCACAATGCCAACAGAATTGGAAGAACAAGATGAAAACATTCTTTATTCTGACTTTGTTGGGATGTAAATGAGCTGCTCTCCTGGTGTTACAATGCTTTTCCTCTTTTTGTTGAGGATAGAGTCTCAGGTTTGCCTAACAGGGTATGAGATGCATTTTGTTTTCTTCTTTTAGCTCAAGTCAAATTAGCACTGCACATGTTGTTTTTTTATTTCTTAAGTAAATAAAGTTTTTATTCAAGAAACCACACCATTGTTATGTGTTTTGTTTCTGAACTTTGGCACCAAAACATTTTTAGCACATGGTAACCCCAGCAGCTCGTGAGTGACCTGACAGGTAGGACTGGTTATGCATGACTTTTAGCCAGGTTGGTACAAACCATCTGCAGGTGCACATCAAGAAGTGCCTGGAATATATGGAATATATATGTCATGTTTTGTTTTATATTACAGTTCAGCTGTCAGATCAGACACGATCTGCTCAAACATAAGGCTTGGGGACCAGAATTGGGCCACCACAGACTCCCAATTCGGTCGACTGGGCTGCTTAGAAAAAAAGGAGAGAAAGGAATAAATGTTGGATTTTCTTTTTTTTGTACAATGGGTCTGCAAAAAAAGGCTATTTTATGTGAATTAACAAAAATCTTTCTGCTCCATAATTAGAGGACCGTCTGGGCAATGACCTACTTTTTTCTGCTGATTTTTTTTCCCCTTGTAATTTAAGCCCAAAGATTAATGCTAGCAGATGTTTTTCTTTAAAACTGCATTCTACATTTCTATATCATGTAGACAAAATGAGACATAATGTTAAAATTGAGCGTCTTATTCCTATATTAAGATAATTAAATGTTTTAATATGATAACGATGTCAGTGGTTTACAACTCTAAGCAGTTTCACAGAGTTTCATTGGTTTGATCCAGTTAAGACAAAAGCAGACTGTATGTCGACCCCTGTTTTAACGTTTTCCACACGTATCCAAAATGACCACAAATGAGGACGCAGTGCACACGTGCAGCTTAGAAACACATATATTTCGATTTCAGGTTCAACAGAATAAACATGACATCCTCAGATGAGGTTTTCATGCAACAGAAAAGTAGGAAGGAAGAAAGGAGGTTCGTATTTATCCAACACAAAGTACCAGTTTATCAGAGGCAGTGAGAATAGAAAAGGATTACACTGTAATAGATCAGAGAGTAGCAACTGTTGTTCTTTATCCTACCAGCAGAAGGCAGTGATACTAAAGGATCCCCAAAGCAAAGGTGCGGCTGGTTAGGAAGCTCCTGTGCGAGTGTTTGGTACTAGTTAAATGTCACATAGATGCAGCAGCACCAGGACGACTCTCAGCCCCCACTGCTACAGTAGTATTCAGTAAGTTAGCTAAATTCTGGCTAATGATGTCAAGATAAAATTGAAAGGAGACAACGTGTTGGCGTTCTGTCTGCAGAACACACCATTGAAACTAATATTACAGGCCAGAGGTGCCATGCTAACTTTGAATTAACAATAATCCTGATATTTAAAAATAAAATATCAATGTTGTTTGAGTATTTATGAATTCATGACTACATTCCTACCTCCTCCCTGCTGTGTTCATTAAAGAAGACAAAAAATTTGACCGAGAGCATTATTTTCTATAACTATTGAAATACCGTTAACGTGATTTTGTGTTTTGCTCATCACGACACCCATGATGACAAAATCCATCATGACAAACTGATATCCTTGAGTCCAACTTCCTTATGCGCCATATCCACACATTTTCTGTTAGCTTTGTCCCATTGCTTCAATTTGAGTGTGTGTGTTTTACCTTGAAAACACAAGAGGGCAATAGTGATCTGACTATCGGGGCATTTAAGGCGTGATAAAGGAGAATGGTGCTGGCCGTGCTGCAACCAGTGACTATGTTTATTTCAGGTTCAGGTCTTCTTCACAACTGCATCTGGTCTTTTTAAAACCTCAACAACGCACAATACTTATTTGTCACTGATACAGGAGACAAGTTTATAATTTTTAATTTTTTAAAATATATTCGACATTCTTTCTGCTCTATAAATAAGATCAAACAGATCCAAATTAGAACACATTTCCGGACTCGCTGCAATCTTGTGAAACACGTCCCTTCATCTAACTGCTCTGCAAGCAGACTAATCCAGGAGGTTAAAAAATAATAATAATAAAAAAATCATTAAGCTAGAGAGTGATGAACAAGCCCTTAGTGAGTTCTCGGTCTGTCAGAGGAAAAGAGAGCGCGGGGGTAGGAGGCCCGTGCTGTCCCAGAGCAAGACAAATATCGAATCATTTCTGCCTGGGGTCCATGCTGAGGAGGCTGAAGAGCTACAAAAAGTTACCACTGTGCGTAAACTGTGTCTGTGGATTCTGTCGTCGCCGGGTTCGAAGGATCATGCAGTAGTATAGCGAACGGTTACAGCTATCTTAAGTTTACTGCTCATCGTTAAAGAACTTTAAAATACTTACAAATTAAGAAACAACACAACAAGATAATACTGTAAAAGTTAGCCTCAAGCATACAGTGTGTGTGTCCACATGCACGCACACGCATTCAGACCCAAATGCACAGCCATACTTTATATAAACAAATGGCGGCTCGACTGATATGTGCTACTGCTGTCATTGATCAAATGCAACAAATGGGATCCCGTTATTTTACAGGAATTCCTCCGCTCGAGTCCACAAAGAGGTCAATCTTGACTAGTTTTGTCTCTCTCTCTCTCTCCGTCACTGTAAACTGGAATTTGATCATCTCGATATTATCAAAGTAAAAGCGCAATAATGAGAATAAAAACTGAATAAATAAACCATGAAGGAGGAAAACAGTATGTACAAAAGGAAAATAAAAAGCATTTTAAATAAAAAAAAAAAAAAATCAAAGAAATCTGATGTACAAGCCCCGCCCCCATCCCACCCCCTTAAACTGCCCATTCAGATGGACCACCAGGAAGCTACGCTACATAATACTGCCTTTCAATGGCAAAGAGTGTGCGCCCCTATATGAAGACAGATGCACTTTATCTTATGATATACAGGCGTACAGTATATACATGATGTACATCTACATGTGCATATGTGTAGGAGTAGGAACTGATTCCTCTCCCTGCGGAAAAAAGAAAAAAACAAACAAACATCCACACGCCGTCACAAGCTCCTTGGAAATCCAACGCTCCAGAGAGAGAGAGACAGATATTATGGAACATTAGCAGGCGTCTCTGTCAGTCATACCTAGTCCCTTCATTCTCCCAAACATAAACGTAAAATGACAGTGACGACTTTCCTTATCCTCCTCTATCATCCTTGCACACAGTAACAACAACAACAGAAAGATATCAGAGACGAGAACCATCATGCATTGATTTGATTGACTGTTTCAATAGAGCAACAGAGCAAAGTTGTGGATAAAAAAAAAAAGAAGGTTGCAGTAGGGGCAGTTTTAGAACTGGGAGGCCGAGCTGGGGTCACACTGGAGTAGCCTAACGATGGAGGGGTCACTTTTGGCACCTTTGATAAACTCCTCCAGGGATAGCTTGCCTGCAGGAGAGACAGGGAGAGAAGAAGAACAAAAACAAAAGAAATGCTGTTATTAATTTGTGGAGATATTTTGAAGATCAATGTGTGTAATATGCAGAGATGGGCAGTAATGCGTTACTTGTAACGCGTTACTGTAATCCAATTACTTTTTTCAAGTAACGAGTAAAGTAAGGGATTACTATTGCAAAAACGGTAATTAGATTACCTTTACTTTCCCGTAGGAACGCTGCGTTACTAAAACCGTGGTTTTTTTGCGAGAATGTCTCATGACAGTGACGTAAGCAAGTGCGACGTTCGTGACAACAGCTGTGTGCAGATCAACAATGGATCATATATCGAGTGCGGGAGAGAGTATGAGCGTGCAGCTTTTTAAGCGTGGAAGTACTGACCTTACTTTAAGTTTGATTCCATAAAAAGTGACAAAAACATTAGAATCCGTTGTGCGTGGGAAGAAAACTTCTTTTTACAGCGAAAAAAACCCCTAAACCTCCAAGCAAGCACCGAGTGCGCTACGACGTAATGGGAAATTCGCAGAGAAACTCGTGGATTCTTCCACTGACCGCTGCGGCACACCTGAACCAGGGTAAACCTCCGCCTACCCTACTCCTGCTTTCCAGGTGAAAATAGAGCAACAGGACTGCTGAGTCTTTGACTTTATTTATTTCCTGCTGTGTTTTACTTGCATCTATTTGAAAGACTGAGTGTAGACACAAAAAAATATTTTATTTTATGTGCTGGAATGTGCAGAAAATAGGTTTAAATGTTAAACAAATTTCTTCCAGTCAGAGAATGTTGCATATAATTTAATATTTGCTTGATGCATAAAGTTAAAAGATTAAAACTGATAAAACAAGTTTTAAAAAGAGACTTTTCCATTTGATTACATTTTGTATGATGGATTATGCAGAAAAAGTAGAATTGGGCTGAAAGATCTATCGCTTTATCACCTATTCAGGTTGTAAATCGTGTTTTTAAAAAGTAACTAAGTAATTAATTACTTTTGAAAATAAGTAATCAGTAAAGTAACGGGATTACTTTTTTGGGGAAGTAATCAGTAATTAGTAACTGATTACTTTTTTCAAGTAACTTGACCAACACTGGTAATATGCTGAAAAAGAGTGAGCAAGGGAAGTATGATTAAGAAGTATCAGCTTCTGTACCTACACTGTTACTATAACTAATGTTTTGATAAAGAGGTGTGTCAGCCTCAACAAAGTCATGTCCACAAATATTTGCTTGTTCTACACAATACTACAGCTGGTGACTAGTTGATAGTGCACATTCCAAACTAACCTACTAATGTATTCAACGCCCTCCTCAAATATACAAGTGGGAAAAATGGTATTTCCGTGTGAAATGGCCAACTTTACAGAATTAAAATGTATGTTTACAGAATATACAGTGTGTGTGTTTGGGCTGTTTAAAATGCACCTTTTGAAGCATTTTATTGGATTATCAGACTACAATTAGCCAATGTGTCTGCACATTGTATCCTTACAGTTTATCAGTGCTACTTGTTAGTGTCACTACCCGATCCGTACCTGAAACCTGATCGGTACCACGCATGCGTAAATCTTACGTCACTTCCTCTCTTTGCCAAGATTGCGACAGTTAATGTATTTGAGTGACACGGTTAGCGCCCAGTTAGCTCATAGCATTTCTCAACAGCTCTGCCTCCTTTTCGACTGCCCGGGACATTTAAACAATGGATAATTCGTATACAAACAAATTAATGCTTTTCTCCTCAACAGAGATCGTCCCACAATTGAACAACAGCGCCGTAAAGTATGAAGAATGGCGCCTAATTACAGACTTAATAATACTGACTTAGTAATATGTCACGTGAAGATTCATCAGTCAGATTAAGTGTTTAATGACAATTGACAGTGATAGCTGACATCATCATTACTATTCCAACAATCCTCTCTACACAGACAAGCATAAACACACGACTATCACTAAATCAAATTGAACACGCGTTTGTAATGATGCTAGTTCATTTTACAATAGGGCTCATTCGCTCGGTCAGCAGGTGGCAGTATCCTCATACACTGGGGAGTAAACTGCCATTAAACAAAACAGAAGAAGAAGAAAACATTGCACATGGGCCGTATGGATCGGGTAGACCAATTTGTACAGTCCAACTTTGCACATGCTCAGTAAGGATCGGGGAGTCCTGATCCGTAACTGTCGTTTTATTTTTAGTTTTTGTCTACATTATATTGAAATATTTCATTATTGCAAACATTTTAAGCTATACTTATTATTCTTAACATCTTAACAGATACTCTGACCCGTAACTATTGTAAAAAGCTTCGGCCAGAAGTAGACACCTTTTGCACATGCGTGGTACCGATCTTGTTTCTGGTACGGATCGGGTAGTGACAGTTAGCCAAGCTTGCTAGCATTAGCTGATAAATTAGCGCTCTTTGCTTCTGGCAGGAAACAAAACCACAACAACAAAAAAAAACATGGTGGCACCAAAACACTAGTGTAGCTTCAAATATGTAGCTAGCTCTCCATTAGTGGCATTAGCTATGATCATGTAATTGTTTTATGCTAGCTTGAACACTACATACATGCTGTGGTGTTTCTGTTCAGGAACTTTGACAATTCCATTTCTGTAGCAGCTTATGTTAACATAAAATTTCAACCAGAAAACAGTTTGTCTGAACATTTACTAATGCCATAATGTATAATACAATATATATGTATAATGATACATGTGTGTTTGGTGTGTATCTTTACACCAGCAGAAACCACCTGATAAACACTTGCTCCTTCTTGGGCCTTCTTTTGCTCTTATGCGAGGCTAAGCTAATTGCCCCCAAGCATGTGAGAGTAGTCTGTCTTGTATTTGTATATGTATTTCATCAATTATGTAGTTAGCTTTTAATGGAGGTAGGTAAGGCATAAGTACAGATCCTTATATCCCATTCATCTTCCTTTTCTTTGTATTTTATTTCTTGCCTTCATTTTTCTTCTGTTTTTAGATAAATAGAACCAACACTAGAACCAACTGGAAGATTTTTATTCAGAATCATGTAACGATCTTTCGTGTTTTATGTCAGAATTATGGTTAAATCATATTTGAATCAATCCAGTGTTTATTTCGACAGTTACTGCAACATTTTTCTAATTTTTATTACTGCTGGCCTCTTCCTGTGCAGCTACATCATTACAGCCTTTAAACCCTTACTTCTCTGCGTCATGGAGTTTGAAGCCCAATCCCAATGTCCACACTCTCAGACTTACAGAGTTTGAGTTGCGTTCCTGCTAAATCAGTCTGGGCTTATGTCTGTTCCAACCCCAAGTTTTTACGTACACGTGGGCTCTTTGGCAAACACTTTTGGTATGTCTGAATTTGTTGTTGACTTCGCAGATTTACCCACAGTTAATTGTGCTTACGTTATACATAGAGTTGCAGTTAATGCCTTAGAAATGCTTTTTGGGTAGGACAAACCTACCCAAAAGTTTAGCTTTTAGTAAAATATCTCAACAAAGATCTGTCAACCAATGATAACCAATATATTTGTCAATCAGCCAACAGTAAAGCCACATCCCCATGCCAATGAAACCATTTTCACATAACTTTTGCTTTGGGATTTGGTGCATGCTGGAAGAAGCCAAGGCCATAAAGGATGCACAACAATAGGCAGTGATAGTCTGTGAAGTTATTTCTTTTTGCACACAATATCAGACAAAATTACAGTTACCATGGTTATCTTCCAATTTACACAAAGTATAAAAACTTCAGCGTGGAAAGATTTCAGACTCTGGAAAGAAAACTTGTGAGAGATGTTTCTGAAGAGCCCAGAACATCTGCCAAGACACGATGACTCTCATAACCACTTTGGGAATTGTAGTCTCAAAGAAGACAACCACTAGAACCCTGCAGAGGTTACAGACCAAGAAAAACTGCTCTTCTGCAGAAGACACACCTTCAAACCACATTAAAGTATGCTAAGGATATAGATAGAAATATGTCTGCTTTCAAGTCCCAGTGTAAAACTGGAACATCTGGGCTTCCACTGTATACCTGATGTTTCTTTTTCTAACAAAAACAAACTAGAAAACAATTACAATTACAGATACTATACAGCAGCCTATAAAGGTTAATATGTGGTTTAAATAATCTGGTGTTACATGCTGGACGTTCTTCCTCTGGGAAAAGTCAGCCAGTGCTCAGCTGCAGATATGGAACACCACGATTGTACATCATTGTGGATCATCCTCTGGACTGAGTGTATGCTAACTAATCTCTGTATAGTTTGAATCTATATTTAAGGCAAATAATGTGGAATAACACTTTAATGTTAATGTCACCATTCACTAATAAAGGCAGGCTAACATTAATGTTAGTGTAATGAATAATCATGGTGGTAATGGTAGCAAAACAAAAAGAAAACAAACCCTCAACTATACAGTGGAAGGCAAGATGTCCCAGTTTTACACTGGGACTTGAAAGCAGCATACATTTGTGGATTTGTGCGTTAAATCAGTCTCATGTGGCGTGATCTGTGCGCATCTGGTAATTCGCCACACGTTTTGTGAGTGAGCGAGAGATGGTACGTGTAGTTTTACACATTTTTGTGCACAGAAAGGTTTTTGAAAGAGAAAATTATTGGATTTGTGAGCTGAGCAAAAGATAAATCATTGGACACATTCGTGAATCTTAGTTTATGCTTTATATCATATCGTCCATATTTGCAACTCTTTTGAGACATATTTCTTTCCATATGAGGACAACCTGGAGAAAGACTATGTGTACTGGAAGCACATCCTTTGGTCAGATTAGATGAAACTAGAGCTTTTTGGCCACAGAGGTGTTTCTTATGTTTGGAGAAAGAAGGGAGGGATGCACAGCCCAAAGAAAACCCTCAGCATAGTGAAACACGGTGGTGGGGGTCTTACGCTGTGAGGATGCTTCAGCACATCTTGAACTGAAATGCATGAAGGTAGAAGGAATCATGAAGAAAGGAGGACGTAAAGATTTTGAAAGAAAGCCTCAAGCAGTCAGCAGTAAAACCAGGTCTGGATCAGCACTTTGTCCTTCATCATGACAAGTACCCAAAATATATGTCTCTCCTGGTGAAGCACTACCTCCTAAAGTCACAAAGCCCCAAGCTGCATCAACCTGCACTGCATTGAAAATATGTGGAGTGTGGAGAGCTCAGAAGTGTTTTTGACACTACAGCAAATGACTGCAGACTGTTATCCAGCAAAAAAAAGATACCAACAAGTATCTATTACCATCAGGGGGCTGATAATTAACGGCAGGGGGGAGGGGTGGGGGGTAAATAATTTTGCTTTTGTGTAAAAAAATAAAAATAATGTAAGAATCCAAAATCAAACCTTCAAAGAGCTGTGTTTAAAAACCCTTGCTCTGTTTGACAGCACTTGGGAAATACTTTAGTCAAATACAATTTCAGACGATGGCTAATAGTTCTGGCCTCATCTGCACTGTTTATTGCTATTCTAACAAGAAGATGACACATAAAGACTAATTGCTTTCATTAAACACATGCGCGCACACACAAAATGGTTTGTTTTTCACGTGTGAATGAAAGCCACATTTTTTTTTTGTAAATGTTGGACACATATATGCTGTTTGAATTCTGTACAAAGTCTTTTGTCCCCAACAAAATTAGCACATTTCAAAGATGATCTTGTCACATTCACCCAGCGCTACCCTCATTTCTTTTTCTGTCTCTCCCCAGCACCCTCCTTTTTGCCATTTCCTCCTCTCACCATCATTATTGAGGTCCATTTGTCTGAAGATCTTATCCGTCCTCTTCTCCGGCGTGGATTCATCCTCTGGCATCTTCATCACAGATGACACCATCTTGTAGATGGCCTGAGAGATGAGAGAGAAAAAGAAGGAGAGAGAGATTGGTTGGGTGGGCGGTGACAGGAGAACAAGAAAGATAAGTGAATTCAAGCCAGCAGGGACCCATTAAGGAGACTCAGCAGGAAAGAAGTAAAACATAACTGAACTAAAAAAAATAAAGTCACTGCAGCTTTCAAGATGCTGATAAACAGCCTTTCTGAAAGTCCACATGATTCACTGACATTTGTTGCTCCTGATGCTAAGAGCTGCTCCCTGGGCAGCTTTTCCAGAAATACCCACGCAGTGTTTGTGTGCCTATAGAATCGCTCCATCGCGCCACGGTGACATGGGTCACATGTGGCAGCGGGGTAAAGGGACGGAGGGCTTACAAGCAGGGCTTACACTATTGATTTCATACATCTTTATCTGTTGACCGATATGAGCACGCCGCGTCCCCTGATAGCATTAAATTAACCTCTGCAAGAGAAGCTCCGAGTATCAGCTGGCCTCAGGCGCAGATCTAAAATCAGCTTACGTGCCTATTAAATCTCCTCCGCTGGGAGTATAGGGTGTAAAAGCAACTGTAGATCGGTGTCGCAGGAGCATCGTCACAGAGGCAGGGAGCTCGCAGGAAATGAGCCCTCTGTGCTTTTTAGAAAGATACACTGGCTCTAAAATGTTATCTCCTCTGACTGTAAAGTCTCATGCCCACACCGTCCTTCAAAAAACTGTGGGAAAAAAACTCCAAGGAGAAAAATAGTGACAAAGGCGTCAGGCACACAGAAATAATCAGGTATTTTAACTGCCCTAAGTCTGAGCACAGATGATTCAGCTATGCCATCATTAGTGTGCAACAACCCTTCAGTTTCATGGTTGGCTCCTTTTATCTTTTCACCAACAATGAATGTCAAGCTAATGCCAACAGGTGTGCCAGGTGGCTCCCTGTAATGAGAGGTATCCTCAGATGTGCTTCCCAGGAAGGCTCACTAATGACTCGGGACCACAACAGAATCTGAAGACACAACAGCGATGACGTTATGTCCAAGATGTCTGTGGATTTTGCTGCAGAGATATCAGCTCAAGTTGAAATGGAGCCCAGCTGTACTCTTACTTTATACCATTTTAAGGGCATATTGTAGCATCCATCCATCATTAAGACAGACAAACAGCATTCAAACCAGCGTTAGCTCAATATTTGATTAATATTGTCCTAAGCTGACTTACTAAGGTAGCTAGAAAGTTAAAAAAATAAATAAAATGAACATAAGAAAATTAGTGAGAAAACAGGGTTTTGTGATACACAAGTTCACGGTTTGGGATGTGGACGTTATCCCTGCATTTGTTAAGGAAAACAAAAAACTTTAAACACAAGGGGACAGCATTTTACAACTGACTGTGTTGAGATGAATGACTGTAGATGGTTGAGATGTTTTGATATTCCTCTTACTTCCTCAGTTTTTAATCGATTTGGCTGGTTACATTAAATATTATAGTGAGTCTTTGCACCATCTTGTGGTACAAAATGGTATTACAACTTTGGATTATATATCTTTAGCACATTTCATGGATGTGAATATTAAGGTTTACACAAAAAAATAGAATTGATAAAAATCACATTTGGATTGAACTGCAGGTGTTTACTCAAATTCAGGTTATGAGTAAAGACGTGGACTCTAAAATATGAATTTCACAGAAAAGATATGTTGGAAGAGCAGTTATGATACTTGTTAATAAGTCAACCAATTTTAATTGTGCCAGAGTAGAAAAAGCGACTCCACCATAGCAAGGCCATAGTCTGTAAAGGATTCACTGAAGGGCACAGCTTGTTGCTTTTAAGATTCCCCACAGCAGATCATCTGAATATCTCAGCCTATCACTAACATCTTCCTCTGTCACACCAACCCTCTGGAGAGGAAGAGGCTCATTCCTGATGTAATCCCACCTCCATGTTGGTTAGTGTTAGGGTTAACTCCCTGCCACTCCTACCGCACACCTCACCAATGTCTTTGCTGTTCTCATACATGCACTGCACCACCCTCACATACATCTCTCCCTCCTGACACTCCTTAGCACCCTATAATCTGCTTTCTCTAGATGCACAAAGACACAGTGGAGATCCTTCTCTACACTTCTCCATCAACACTCTCAAAGCAAACATCAGATCTGTAGAGCTCTTTGTCAGTATGAAGCCACACTGCTGCTCACCGATCGTCACCTCTCTTCTCAACCTAGCATCAGCAGCTCTTTCCCATATTTTCTTGGGCTGGCTCATCACTACTACAGCTCTGCACATGACACCTCTTAAAATCCGTAGCAGCAGGCTTCTCCATTCCTCAGTTATCCTCTCACTCTTGTGGATTGTGTTGAACAATTTGGTTAATAAGTCCACCGCCCTCTGTCCCTCATTTCCTCCTTACTAATCCTCTGCACTTCTCAGTTCACCATCTTTCCCCATTCTCTCATTCATCAGCTCCTCAAACTGCTCCTTCCATTTTCTCAGCAAACTTTTGCTTGTTAGCAAATATCTATCTTTAATCACCCTGACCTGCTGCACGTCGTTTCCACCTCGATCTCTCCGTCTAACCAATCTGCACGAGTCCTTTTCTCCTTCCTGTGTGTCCACACCCACATACAACTCACAATATGCAAGAAATTGAAATTGTGGTTATAATGATGGACACGTCCATTGATCAGCAAAAGTGTAGAGCTTTTATTAATCTGATAATGTGGTGTAAAACAAATCTGACCTCAGTCATGACCCTTCCACTCTCCTGCTCACTCTCAGCACATAATGGTCCCCTCCTTTCCCTAACAGTGTGTAACCTCAGTGAGCCTGTAGATAATCCTAGCATTCTGCACACTCAGGGATAAACTCAAGTTAAATTTAACTTGCTAATCCATGAGAATCCAGAAGTGCATACACACACACAGAATACACAGCGAGATCCTCAGTCCAATATCTTGACATATGAGTCCTTCTGCTTGTTCTCTTCAACAGTGAAAGGATTAGATGCAGCACTACTTAACAGCCTTCCTGCAAACTGTTGCCTGTGCCAATGCTGCACTCAGGGTGCCTATTAGAGTAAGTTAATGCATTCATCCACATACTTAAATGAATGCATTAACTTACTTAACATAACTAATGGGAGTATTTATTAAAGGTGCTCTGTCTTTTCTTAGTATTGTATAAATCTCTGTGATTGGCTGATCAATACAAACTGTAATGTAGTTTGCACCATGTGCTAGATGAAAATTTGAAGGACCAATGGAAAGAACAAGCAGGAAAAAGCAAGAAAACATACTGAGACTCCTGGTGAGATCAAATTAGTTATTCAAGAACATTCCTGTTTCAGTCGCATGATGTGTGTTTATGAAAATGAAATCAGGTTTGGGGATTTAGAATTTGAAATGGACCATAAATCAAAGTGCTTTACTACTCTTACTGAGTGCTTTTTACTACAAGCTACATTCGCATAGCATGCCCACAGGTCCATCACAGGCAATTTGGGGGTTGAGTATCACCTAACTGGTGGACGACCCGCTCTATATCCTGAGCTACAACTGCTACAGATAAGAAGGGATGTTCTACACATATGGCAAGCATACTGTAGAGTCTACATTAGTGATTTCATTCATGATTTAATGTACTCGGTTAGCTCGTTAACACGTTGACACCTTGCAGCCCCACGCACGGGGTGATCCGCGGTAACTTGCTAACGGAGATTTGCCGCGGTTATGGCGTTAACGTCATTTTAACGAGATTAATGCTGACAGCACTAATATAAAGGCCCGCTAGGGAGATGACAAAGTATTTTTGCACAAGTATTTATATTATTTAGTGATGATACTAAGTGTCTGTGAGCTGCTAAGGCACTCTAATTCATGTTCGCAAACTAGGATACTACTAATGATTCCAGCGTTACAACTTCAAAACTGCCATGGCTAACTTTTTATCTAGCCTGAGTTTCCATTTAAAGGGAGCTAATTAGCTTGTTGTTGGTTATGTGGTGGGGGAGATGCCACCAACATCAACTCACTATGCAATTAGGTAAGCGTATACAGTCAAGAGGTAAATGTGATGTGTGACCTAGCTAAATGCAGTAGATAGCACTGCAACAACAGTTTGCTTTTAAATGGCAGTAACCTTGTGGCCCTAATAAAAGTGTCATAATGAGCTATAACGGAAGGTTTTGAGAGAAATCGCATGGTCTACATGTGACAACCCCTCCACCAGCACCTGAGGCCAGAAGAAGTGTTTACTTCCACCAAAACTAACCAGCTTCCCTTGCTTACCTCTACAATCTCCAGCATTTCCTCGCGGCTGATATACCCATTTCCATCCAGGTCGTACATACTGAAGGCCCATTTAAGCTTCTGCTCCAGCTTTCCTCGTGACGTCACACTCAAGGCAATGATGAACTCCCGGAAGTCTATTGTCCCGTCGGCGTTGGTGTCAAAAGTTCGGAAGACATGCTCGGCAAACTTGGAGGCATCGCCGTACGGGAAGAAATTGGCGTAGATCTTCTTGAATTCCTCCACATTCAAGGTTCCACTGGGGCAGTCCTTCAAGAAACCCTGAGGTTAAAAAAAGCAGATATTAGGTGAGACAGGGTTCAAAATAAGACCTTTAACTTTTTCTTTATGTCTATAGAATAATATAAAACAACTCCAATTCCAATAAAGTTGGGATGCTGCATAAAATGCATTGAATTCTAGGTGATCAGTGTCTATTTTGGACTGCAGATAGGCCAGTCTAGTACCTGGACTCTTCTATTATAAAGCCTTGCTGTTGTAATAAATACAGTATGCAGTTCAGCATTGTGTTGCTCATACAGTTGTGGTCAAAAGTTTACATACACTTGTAAAGAATATAATATAATGGCTCTACCGAGTGTCCCGTTATTTCTAAAACTCTGATTTTTCTCTGATAGAGTGATTGGAACAGATACTTCTTTGTCACAAAAAACATTCATGAAGTTTGGTTCTTTAATGACTTTATTATGGGTTAACAGAAAAAAGTGATCACATTTACTGGGTCAAAAATATACATACAGCAACATGAATTAGCAATTTTGGTGACTTACAAAGTTGTCAGTGAACTGAGCTTCATAGCATGGCCTCTTAACTTGTGAGTGATTATGAGTGACTACAGCTGCTGACTTCTCTTAGGCCAGTTAAATAGGGCTCATTGGATACAAACGCCCACAAACGCTACAATGGGAAAGTCAAAGGAGCTTAGCATGGATCTGAAAAAGCGAATTATTAACATGAACAAGTCAGGAAAGTCACTTGGGGCCATTTCAAAGCAGCTGCATGTCCCAAGAGCAACAGTGCAAACAACTGTTTGTAAGTATAAAGTGCATGGCACTGTTTCGTCACTGCCAAGATCAGGAAGAAAACGCAAGCTATCACCTGCTGCTGAGAGAAAATTGGTCAGGAGGATGAAGAGTCAACCAAGAATCACCAAAAAGCAGATCTGCCAAGAATTAGAAGCTGCTGGAACACAGGTGTTATTGTCCACAGTCATACGTGTTTTGCATCTCCATGGACTGAGAGGCTGCCGTGCAAGAAGGAAGCCCTAGCTCCAAAAGCAGCACCTTAAGGTTCAACTGAAGTTTGCTGCTGATCACATGGACAAAGATAAGACCTTCTGGTGGAAAGTTCTGTGGTCAGACAAAACAAAAATCGAGCTTTTTGGCCACAATGCCCAGCGATATGTTTGGAGGAGAAAAGGTGAGGCCTTTGACCCCAAGAACACCATGCCTACAGCCAAGCATGGTGGTGGTGGGAGTATTATGCTGTGGGGCTGTTTTGCTGCCAATGGAACTGGTGCTTTACAGAGAGTAAATGGGATAATGAAGAAGGAGGATTACCTTCACATTCTTCAACATAACCTAAAATCATCAGCACGAAGGTTGGGTCTTGGGCACAGTTGGGTGTTCCAACAGGACAATGATCCCAAACACACATCAAAAGTGGTAAAGGAATGGCTAAGTCAGGCTAGAATAAGGGTTTTAGAATGGCCTTCCCAAAGTCCTGACTTAAACCCCATTGAAAACATGTGGACAATGCTGTTCTTCAGCATTGTCCACAAGTTTTCAAGTCCATGTCAGAAAGCTATCAAATTTAACTGAACTGCACCAATTCTGTGAAGAGGAGTGGTCAAAGATTCAACCAGAAGCTTGTGGATGGCTACCAAAAGCGCCTAATTGAAGTGAAAATGGCTAAGGGACATGTAACCAAATATTAGCACTGCTGTATGTATATTTTTGACCCAGCAGATGTGATCACTTTTTTCTGTTAACCCATAATAAAGTCATAAAAGAACCAAACTTCATGAATGTTTTTTTGTGACAAAGAAGTATCTGTTCCAATCACTCTATCAGAGAAAAATCAGAGTTTTAGAAATAACGGGACACTCGGTAGAGCCATTATATTATATTCTTTACAAGTGTATGTAAACTTTTGACCACAACTGTATATGCAAGAAGCCAGGAAACTAACATAACTTTTTCAAAACATCAGAACAGTCAGAGATCAAATTTCTCAATCAAAACTTTGAGTAGTAACATTTTCAATCATTTAACTTCTTATTCTGATAAGAATGATTTTGAAAAGGAGCTTAGTCTTGGATCAGAAAAGCCAACGCTATCTTCTATTCAAGCCCTCACATTTGATAAAGCGGCATTGTGCCTGAGGAAAAAAAGGGAGGTAAAAGTCACTTCTATCCCTGGTCTTTGTTCAAAAGAAATAAAGCTCTTTTACAAAGACCTTTAAAATAGAGGCAATGAGGTAACAAAACCATTTCTGATGGCTGGGATTTCTACTCACAACTGGAGGGGAAAAATCAGCAGGGTTGTGCTCCTAATAAATATTTTTTAATTGACAGTGTTCAAAATTTCACTGTGGGTAGTGAAGCATCCAGCATCTCCCACACTCAGAAGCAGTTGATCTGCTGAGAGCTGTGACCACTGTGACAGGTCAGTGAGGGAGGGGCTTTAACTTGTACAACTCTTATTCAGGACAGCACGCACAGCTGTTCCATAGGTTTAACCCATGTGTAAAGCTCTGCAGCCACTACACATATATCCATGTGCATAAGATGAGATAACTTGTGAGGTCAGGTCACTGTGGCATTTCATAATGCTAAGCTCCCCACTGAATAAAGGACTGGGTTTAGACAGTGCTCTGTGGTGGACGGAGATAAGACTGCTGTCAGTGTTACAGATCACAGATAGAAACATGTCTGTACAGAAGACGCAAGGATGTCCTAACAATCGTGATATAAATCATAACTCTGCTGTGTGACATATTTGCCTAGTTTAGGACTTATTTTTACCAACAATGAAAGGATCCAAAGCGCTTTTGAAATGTTTGAAGATCAGGAAGATTCTGATTTTGGAGAAACAATAGGTAAAGAGACTTATTTTAAAACATGCAACTTTGATATCAGAAGATGATAACTCAAGCCATGCTGTTCAGACGGTAGTTAAAGGTGCAACATTGAATATTTTTATAACACCAATTGATCCGATTGTGCTGTGTCACATGCAAGGTGACGAATCTACTTAAATCGACCAGATTATTCATCTTTATGCTCCGGGTTATTGCTTTTATTAGTTTGCTAATGCGTTCAGCTATAAGGGGTGGGCAATCTCCGTCCACGAGGGCCGGTGTCCCTGCAGGTTTTAGATCTCACCTTGGGTCAACACACCTGAATCACATGATTAGTTCGTTACCAGGCCTCTGGAGAACTTCAGGACATGTTGAGGAGCTAATTTAGATTTAAATCAGCTGTATTGGTTTGAGGACACATCTAAAACCTGCAGGGACACCGGCCCTCGTGGACTGAGATTGCCCACCCCTGAGCTAGTTGCTAGCTAGTTGTGTTGCTCCCAAATAGCCAAAGAATCTGACAAAAATGGTTGTGTTATCAGCTAACACTAGCAAGCTTAGTTGGCATTGTATGAGTAGATCGTACAGATACCTGGTATCTGTGTTTAAGCCAAGTAACATATCCCACGAAGGTTGATTCTGTTCATCTGCACGTAGCATTTTCAATCGGAGAAACGTTTCGTCGCTCATCCAAGTGACTTCTTCAGTCTTAGCTGACTGCAGGTTTCCCCAAGTACATTTGCACAATAACTGAAACCAGCCCACTGAAGGCTGAGGAAACCTGCAGATGAGTGAAAACGCTACGTCCAGATGAACAGAATCAGCCTTTTGGGATTTGCTTACATGGATGATCGAGCATGCATCAAGTTATCCCACGATCGAATAAAAGATTGTAAGTCAACAAACAACACAGGATCATGGATTTGTTGGACAATCTGTTTGTATAATAACCAAACTGAAATCCATATTATTTGCTGGATAACTTCAGTGAATATGCTCCAAAAGGCACCGACACCACAAATAAGAGAATTTAAGAGAGATAAATTGCCTGAGGTGAGCACTATTCTGTAACTCAAAGTTGCCCCACCCTCATTAATAGCTAACATTTATTCATTGTATAATGTTAAATGGAAGAACTGAAAAAAAAAAAACCCGCCTGCACAGTTGCCATATGCAGAGAACCTGGGCAGTTTATTTCTGTACTAAAGTTGAGCCTCAAGCCTCAGATGGCCGTTTGAGAAACTGCAGTTTTTGGTTCTTTGCTGTTGGCTTCATCGTACGGCTTTATAAACATCTATGCCAAACGATACCTCTTATAGTTATATTAGTATTACTGGTCCATTTTATGTAGATGCCATATAAATACCAGATCTGTCATTATATACAATTCAATATAAATCTGCAAAACAAAAAAATACAGTATTTCTCTTAGAAGTACAGTAGTGTAAGACTACAGCTATAATATAGTACAGTACTGTGCAAAGGTTTTGAGCCATTCACCATTTCTTTTTATTTTCTGCATTCCTTCTCATGCAGCAATATATTGCAGCATGTGGGAACACAATTAGAAATACAGTATTTAAAGCTTTAAATTTAAAGTTTGTATAGTTTTAATGAGCTTGAAAGTCAATATTTGGTATGACTAGCCTTACTCTCCCACGCAGCTTGAACTCTCTTAGGTCAGCTTCCTTATCATTTTATCAAGTATCTTTGGGAATAGTTCGTCAAACCCTTTGAAAGACAGTCAAAGCTCTTCTTTAGATGTTGGCTTTTGTTCTATTGTCTGTTAGGATGATCCCACATTGCTTCAAAACATTGGATTTTTGGCTCTGGGGAGGCCAATCCATGACTGAAAGTGTTCCATTGTGTTAGTTCTTCTACCAGGAAGGATTTTTACTGTATTGGCAGTTTGTTTATGATCATTGTATGCTCTAAAATGAAGCTGTGGCCAATCAGACACCTTCTAGATGGTACTGAATGGTGGATCAAAATCAGATAGTACTTTTCCATCTTTTCCATCATCATCCAAAAGATCCCTGACACAACTGTCTGAAATGCAGCCCCAAACCACGACAAAGCCTCCATCATGTTTTACAGATGGATGCAGCCACAGACTATCTGTACCTCTATCCTGACCTCCTCTGTACACATTGATACACAAAATACAGCTGAAGAGCCAGCTGTAATCTCTCAGGCATCTCAGGTCCTGTGTCAGGTCTTTGCTGGATTTTGTTCTGTTTCTTAGGGATGTGACTTTCAGATACTGTTCACCTACTGATCTGCGGTCTGTTATGTGTAGACACAACACAGGTTTGGTGCCTTTAGGTGGCATTAGGTGCCATTTTATCCTAGAATGAATCATACGTCAGGGTTATGTGGCTCAACAAACAAGAGAAAGCATTCCTGTGAAAATGAGTCAATGTCTAAAGAAAAACTTTGAACACCTTCAGAAAGCCTGGAGAACTATTGCTCAAGACCACTTTAAAAATTTACAATAAAGTCTTGCTCCTTGGAAGGAGAGTATAAAGAGTTGAAGGCGGGCTCGAGACTTTTGCACAGTGTTCAGGGTGTGAATTGTGCACCTTGTACCACTCCTGCAACTCGTGGTCGGAGAACTCGGTATTCTCACGGAGATCCTGCAACACCTCTGGCCGCAGTTTGCTGTTCTGTTTCCCCATGGCAACGGGATGGGACTTTGGGTTTCCTTGACAACAACAGCGACTACAGCACTAGCCAGGCTGCTTTTCACACCTGTCAATCAGAGATAAGGAAACGGGAGGTCAGCAACAATTAAGAAGAGAGGAGGGTGAACTCGAGTGACAATTGAGAAGTGCAAACAGCGCAACGTCACCAAAGCTGCTCGGCAACAGATGAAAAAAACAAAAACAAAACATATGAGGGATTAGAAGAGAGGGTTCGCAAAGTCGACTGTTCGCTACAATTAAAACCAGCAGCTGCTTTCTGCTTGAACAAATAAAATGATCGGGCAAACCATGGAACAGTAACATAGACACTTCCAAACAGACAGCACAGCTTTGCAACTCACACAAAGTCTTTTAATGGAATCAAAGCAAGCCTTGTGACGGTATTGTCTCCCAGTCCGTTTGACACGAGATGTTACGCAAGTCTTTAAACTGCCGCATCACAGTCGCAAAACATTAAATAATCCTGAGCGTGCACCGGTGACGTCAAGCGCTAGCCCACTGATCACATTTTTATGGGATTATTTAGCCAGCTGCATGTCTGTGTGTCAAATCAGCCGTGTGGTGTGTGCCTTCAGATCTCCTAATCTTCATGTCAGATCAACCTGCTGCACAAAATGCGATTTCAATGATTCAACTAAACAATAAAACCATTACTAAGAAAAGGAGTACATCACTTGTATAAAATCCGATTCATTTACCTATTAATAATGTAATGAAGGTAGTTTGGAGGCAATTTGGACATTGCAATAGTGGTTAAAGATTAAATACATAGAGTAAGAGATTTTAACAGTAGGAAAAAAACACTAAATATACCTTAAATTGCCACCAATTAGGGTTGAAATGCAGTGGTTGCCTCATTTAAAATGATGTCTTTGTGGTATTTCTTGTGGTAGAGCTTTCTATACAAACATTTATATAGTTCTGCACTGTAACATCTTTCAGTAAAAAAAAAAGGTCCAACAAACTTGTGCTTGTTAACTTTGTTTCCTTACTTTGGACCACTAATTAGCTTGTGCTCAGCCATCAAAGTGTTCTGTGACTTCTGTGTGTGTGGCAATGCAAATTAAAATTACAGTATCAGTCGGGCTTGAACACCTCTGACGAGACGCTTCCTGACCTACACTTTCTCCTCGGTTGAGCTCGGTAATTACGCCGTCAGCTTTTCGTGTACGTGCCCAAAGAAGCGGGAACAAGCGCGGGCCTGTTTGTGTTTACGTGACCTCTACAAAGTCAAAGTAAGCTGGTGGGGCATTTGAGGTGGACGGCGTGGTGTTTATCACTGACTGGCGAGAGCTGCACCATCGCAGAAGCGAAACCCACGCACTCAACCATCTCTTTACTCGGCTAATAAAATTAGGCTTTACTGTAAACGCTTGAGCACTGACAGTAATTCTTGTAGTCAGTCCCCAGCCTGCTGACGCTGGAACTGCAACCATCAGTTATGAGTCCTTCCTGTTTGGGGTCTGGTGAAAGTTGCAGAGGGAGGACTGGGATGTGACGGAGGTTGGGATCGTGTCGTCACCAACAAAGTGCATTATGGGACCATTGTTCGTGCAAATCCAAGTTGAAAAAAAGCAAATACAGAGACTGAAGATGCTTTTGGGTCATCAGAATGGTGAACTGCTGTGGCACAGCCGTGTTTTACAGAGTGGAGGAAGACTTTTGCTCTGGTCATGAAGCCGATGATGTACGACTTGAAGACATCGTAGGGATTTTGCTACATTACAAATGGCAGTTATATGTAGGCTGTAGCTACATGGTGGTATGGCTTGAATCAAACAAAAGCTTTATACTTTCGTGTTTTAAAACTTCTGCAGTCCCGACTTCGTGCTGTCGTTGCACTTCAGTTACACATCTACAGTAATTGTTACATGGTTACAAAATATTAGTATGTAATAATAAGGAAATGTTGTGTTTTATCGAATTGGAAAAAAGACAAAACACATTACAGTACAGCATTGAATATTGAGTAACTACCTGTTGATGTCCATCTTTGTTTAGGTTTTGAGCGAACACCAACATGGTGGCAACTACCCAGAATGCACTGCAATTTTCGACCCTTTGCCAGCTGTCAGAAAAATGCAGTTAACTTGGCGCAACGCCAGTGTTTCCTGTCAAGTTCACACCTTGGAGCTGCTTTGATTCTGAAGGGCGTCAGGTTTTGAAGGTTATTTTAGAAACACCTGAGGACCAGTGCTTTCTTTTTGTTTTTTCCCAGAAAAGCTTGTTTCAAATTTTAAGTCCAGGATGTTTTTAAATAGTTTGAGTGATCAAATTTTCAACACACAAACCTTTGATTTTTTTACTCTGAGCAGAGTTCAGTTTGTCTTAAACATCATGTGCAATCCAACCACAAAGACAGACATAAATCTATTTCTCCTCAAGGAGTAACTGGGTGGTGGTGCCTGCACTGCTGAAGGCTATATGTGAAATGAGTAGGTAGTTGCTGTAAACCAGTAATTTACGTTTTAGCTGAACAGACCGAGTGCACCGTTGTGCCTTGGATGAGCATTTGGAGAACACACACCCATCGCGCACTCACTGATGCACACACTTTCTAGTTCCTGTAACGATTAATAATTCCTTCCCACGCTGCCCAAATGTGAAATTTAATTGTTGAGACAAAGGTGATTAAATAACAGCAACAAAGGTTTCCCGATGACAAACAGAAACAGTCAACCTCTGCTTCAATTAGCCACGAGGGTTGCTTCCACATGATGTCTCTGTGAAACGCTGCAGATGATTTGGGCTGATATCTAAACAAAACAAACAGAAAGTGAGTGAGTTTGTGAAGACCTGCTAAAATGTTCACATCAGGATTTTTGAGAACCTTTCGCCACATGTAGCCACAGATCCTCAGATCATGGGATTTTCCTCTTCTCATGGAGGTCCACTGCAATTATTGTTGGTGGAAAGGCTCAGAATGGGAACCACAGCTGCATCCTATGAGCAAGCTCATCCAGCTTTTGAAGTAAGCAAACAAACAGTTACCTTATAAGGACTTTACTTTAGGCATGTGTTCTTCGTAGTCACGCTCAAGGCCTTTACACACCGGACACAGAAAATATTTTGTGTGTTAAAGAAATGTTGGGGCCTCGACTATTCTCAATTCAGCCGCTCACACCACCTGCATAATTTTGATGTGGTCCCACCTCTACTGAAAGTGAAGAGCTGAAAGTGCCCCACTCACATCCTGAAATGTGTACAAAAGCAGCCGTCATACAGCCTCAACTCTTCAGACCTCCCCGTTGCTGCCTTCTGCTGAGAACTGAACCTCCATTTCTTCCTTTTCTTGTTTTGAAATATCAGGACCAGCTCATAATCACTTGATGTTTACTTCCTTTTTTTTTCACAATGCAGAAATGCAATCCTTTCCATGTGTGTATATCTTATACAACATATTATATGTTACAAGTTCGCATATGAAAAAATCTGGAATGTCATGGCGCTTTTTTGCAATCTGCTCGGCTTTTAGATCTGAGTCTTCACAACAAATAAGATTGTTAGCATTGTGTATTAAACACAATGGTGATCTTTACAATCATATTTTATATTATTTCATCAAGACCATCCCTAAAGCTCTGACAAAAATTGCTACTGCCACGAGTCAGTCAGATCCTGTCCTAAAGACTCAATAATGCAAAGTGACAGCCTGACTGGCAGTGCTCTATGCTACAACTGCACAACAAAACCTATTCTAGCACACTGACCTTTTCTGTGAACTCACAACTCTCTTCTTTCCCCTTAGAATTGTTCTTTAACCAAGCTGTGATCCACAACAACTCTGTGTGCATGTCAGTCGGTCAAAGAAGCCACAGCCACAGTTATTTTAATCCCAATCTAACTCCCAAACCCAATCCCTACTGTCCCTTTATTGCTTATCCTTCCATCCTGAAACATGAAAAAAACATTAATCCATCTCCCCAGTTTAAGTGCCCACTGCTTGTTAGTTGCTGTTGTCAGGCCCCGTCATAAGTCCATACGCACACATACACAAACCCTGTGAACATCTGTTTCAGAGCTGCTAAGCGGGTCACTGACTTCTACCCTGATGATCTTCGCATGGAGAAAAGAGAGAAAGGCAGGCGAAGAAGAGAGACAAAGCTACACAAACAAATGGCTTAAGAACAAAGACAGGATCACAGAGAGAAAGGGAAAAGAGGTGACAGAAAGTCAGATCTGTGGATTTAGAGGTGCTACCAAAACTTATTACAGTATCTGCAACTGTGTTTTTTCCAAGTACCTTCCTGAAAATCCAAAAACACCATTTCAGAGCAATTTCAGAGCACTGCAGTGTGACACTCTCACTAATTAAAAAGAAATGTGGTATTTTTGAGTAAACACAAAGCGATTCACTCATTATACGTCCCTTTGTAGCTGATGTATGGTTCATAGTAGCCCCTCCTGTTTAGGTAACAGTCTAATGTCTTGATAACTTCACATCACCTAATGGCCCATTTCTTTAAAAGCTTGGTACTTAGTTTGCTGTTGCTTTGCTGTTTTAGAGGGAGTCTGATCGAGGTGTTGAAGTGATCTCGCCGCATTCAGCAAAACGTACAGTTCAAAGCTAGCTAGCTCGCTTGGCTCAAGAGCTGGAGGTGGGGGATACAGACTAACCAAACCATGCAAATCCCATCGAACAAAGTTGTGTCGAAAAGTTAGCTGCCTTGCTAATGTTAGCGACATACATTGCAGTATTAATGAATCACATAACTGGGTTTCTCAGTGTTATTTATGCTTATGTTAAATTAATATTAAGTTAGCTGTTGATGCTAAAGCTCTATTTACCATTTTATTGTTGTTTGCTTTTATGTAATTGGAAAACTAATATGATAAGTTATTTTTCGTAGCATTCACGATTTCAGGCATTTATGTAACACATGTAGAAAAAATGTCTCCTCTGGGCCCTGCAGGCGGTCTATCCTTCAAGCTCAGGTCTGCCACCAGAGCCGTGGGAGCTTGAGGGTCCTGCGCAGTATCTTAGCTGTTCCCAGGACTGTGCTCTTCTGGACAGAGATACCAGATGTTCTTCCTGGGATTTGCTGG